GTGGCTGCAGTCCCGCATGTGCCTGCTTCTGAGGGGCTCCCGGGTCACTTGGCGGTTGCTCGAGGGTCTGTGAGGGAGCCTGAACTTTGCGATGCTGGTCTACCTGCCGGGTCAGGTTTGGCTTCGTCAGCTGTTCTGGTTCTTTCGGGGATGTCCCTTATGCCTCTCTCACGACCGCTGGGTTCAGACCCCGGGGTCTTTGCGTCGGTTGCTGCGTCACTGGCTTCCTCTTCAGGTTTTTGGGGATTCAGTGCCTTGGCGCCTACCCAAGCCCTTGCTCGATGTGTTCACGGAAGCGTTGTGTCTCAGCTGGGGGCTTGTGAGCAGTGCTCATCAGGCCGGCCAGGGACAGTAGGGTCCGTCCTTCCGTCGAGCCCACAGCACTGTGCGGGAGTTCGTGGAAGTGTGGTTTGCTCTTCAGAGGCTTTGTGTCGCCCGCGGGTCAACGATCCGGTTCCATTCAAACTGCTCCCCAGTGAGTCATATTCTGAACCGGGGGGGTTCGAAGCGGTCCTTGGCTCTTTGATGCTGGTCACTTCGGGTGACTCGTCTGCTGAGTTCTCGGGGCTTAGCTTTCCTGGCAGTTCATGTGCAGGAAGTGTTCAACGTCTTAGCAGACGGCCTGTCTCGTTTCGTTCCCCCTCTCCACGGAATGGACGGTCGACGCCGACTCCTTCTGTTGGCTTTGCCGGACGTTCGGGCGCCCTGAGGTGGATCTCTTCACGTCGGGTTGGTCGCTGCACCTTCCCCAGTATGTGGTGCCCTTCCCCGACTACGAGGCCGTCTGGGTCGATGCATTCCGGCAGGACTGGTGACCTGCCCAGCCATAGTTTCAGGCGGTGCTTGCTTGGTGCCCAAACCCGCAGGTTTTCCCGCGGCTCTGCTTCTTCCAGCAAATCGACCCGTACGTCACGTGGATGGTTCAATCTTCTCCTCGAGTCTTTGCCTTTTTTTTTTTTTTTTACTCGGGTTTATCATCATCTCTATGGTGATCAGGTGGCTTCCTTGTTAGTGTCCCACCTGCAGGCTTCGTCTCGGCGGCAGTATGATGTTCCTGGCAGTCCTTCTGGTTCTTCTTACGTCTTCGTCGTTGTACTTCGCTTTCTGTTTGGTTGGTTTTATCCTTTCTCTCTTGGTTGTTCCAAGACCGTCATCTTATGCCTAACACTGTCGCCTCGTATCGTGCGGCGCTGGTGGAGCCGCTTCAGCTTGCTTTTGGTATCGATGTTGCATCTGCGCCGTTTCACAAGCTGTCTTGGGCGTTGTTTCACCTCCGGACTGTTCATGCATTGCCTGAGCCATCCTGGTCTTTGGACAGAGTGCTCTCTTTTCTTTCTTCTCCTCGGTTTGTTGTGGCCCATTCGGTTCCGGATTGTTTTTCGAAGGCTCTTTTCCTGTTGGCATCAGCCTCTGGGGGTTGGGTTGGTGAACTTCATGCTCTCTCCCAGCGCAGGGGTTTCTGTTCCTTCGGTCAGGGCGATCAGTTTGTTCGTCTGCAGCCTTCTCCTTCTTTTCTGGTGAAAAATGAGACTGCTGTTTTCCGGAGGATTGTTGATGCTTGGTTGGTTCGGCCAGGGGTGCATCACGTTTTGTGTCCGGTTGGTGCTCTCCACCGTTATTTGCGCACCACGGCTTCTGTTTCTGTGGACGCGCTTTGGGTTGATCTGGTTTCCCTCCTTCCCTGTTTGTGGGTGCAGGTCTTCCAGGTTGTCCGAAGGATTAATAAGGCTAGCCAGCCTGCGGTCTATCCCTGTACCCATGACGTTTGCAAGTTCGCAGCTCTTGCCGCCATCTTTGGGAATATGTCTTGTGCTGACATTCGGGTGCGGGGACTTTGGCAGTCGAACAGGGTCCTGGCTGCTCGTTACCTTGTTAACGTCCCTGGGCCCGGTCGGGCCTGTGTCACTTTGGGTCGGCAGTTGCAGCCAGTTGTCTCGACTTCGGGTTGAGGTGTAAACAGCAGCTGCCTCCTGGGTAAGTCCCTCTTCTTTCCTCTGTAGGTAGTTAGCTCCGGAGAACCGTAGGGGCTCCCCCCCTTAGAAAACCAGCGTTGAATGTAATGAAAAGCCATTTTCTGGGTGAGAGTGCCATTTCCTTGGCATTCCTACCTCCCTCCTGTCGGCATTTTTTTGCGTGTTTTCACATCCAGCCTCAGAATTGGGGTGTGGATCGCCGGCACGGGAGGTCTGCCGGCTCCCCTGGAGTTGTGCAGACGGCGATGGGTGACGTCATACTAGTTTGGTAGTTTTTGTTTGGGGAGTTCTATCCACTCGTTCGGCTTTTGGTTGCAATTTTCACCAGAATAGTGGTTTATTTTGGGATGCTTACCTTTCTGGGTGCCTGACCCGGTCAATGGCAGACATACAATGCTTCCAACCACACAGGGTTTTCTGCGCAGGAGGCCATTGCAGTTTACCGCCTGCGAGAGGTACGGATTACCCCTAAATAATGGATCATTCTTTTGAGTTCTTCTCTTTTCCTTACTGGGTGCATTATGAGGTGCCGGAGTCTTCCCGGCTGGCAGACTGCCCTTTCTTTTCGTTTGGGGCATGGCACGCACTCTGCCAGACCCACACACTTGAATAGCGGGAGTTGACTACGGTTGTTCAGGTTTACCTAGGGGGCAAGTTTGAGGACCACAGTGCGTGTTTGTTCACCCCCGTGCCTCCCCGGATTGTCGGCCAGGTGCAGCTTCACGTGCAAGTTCGTTCCCTTTCGATGTCCGTGGTAGCTAAGGATTTGCTCGCCCGTTATCATTTGTCTTCAGTCTTGCACTTCTTTTCCCTGCTGGAGCTGTCTTCAGACTGGCTCAAGGAAGATGTAGAGGAGCTAGGTTTCAGGCAAGCGTGTGGTACGCTTGCCTCGGCTGCTCAGGCGTCGGCTGCCTTGTTGAAGTTGTATGCGCCAATTCTAAAGGAAGCCGTGTCTCTGTTCTTTCCTTTTCACCTCGCGTGCCGATTGTTGGTGCTCGCCTGTCAGGAGAGGTATGGGAAGCGTGGGTTAGGTGTGGTGGAGGTGTCAAGTGTGTGGGAGGTGTGGGAAACATGTGGGAGATGTGGGAAACATGGGGGAGGTGTGGGAAGCATGGGGGGAGGTGTGGGAAGTATGGGGAAAGTGTTCGGGAGGTGTGGGAAGGATGGGGGAGGTGTGGAAAGCTTGGGGGGAGGTGTGGGAAGCATGGGGGAGGTGTGGGAAGCATGGGGGGAGGTGTGGGAAGCATGGGGGGAGGTGTAGGAAGCATGGGGGGAGGTGTGGGAAGCATGGGGGGAGGTGTGGGTAGCATGGGGGGAGGTGTGGGAAGCATGGGGGAGGTGTGGGAAGCATGGGGGAGGTGTGGGAAGCATGGGAGGAGGTGTGGGAAGCATGGGAGGAGGTGTGGGAAGCATGGGGGGAGGTGTGGGAAGCATGGGGGGAGGTGTGGGAAGCATGGGGAGGTGTGGGAAGCATGGGGGGAGGTGTGGGAAGCATGGGGGAGGTGTGGGAAGCATGGGGGAGGTGTGGGAAGCATGGGGAAAGTGTGGGGGAGGTGTGGGAAAGCAATGGGGGGAGGTGTGGGAAGCATGGGGGGAGGTGTGGGAAGCATGGGGGGAGGTGTGGGAAGCATGGGGGGAGGTGTGGGAAGCATGGGGGGAGGTGTGGGAAGCATAGGGGGAGGTGTGGGAAGCAGGGGGGAGGTGTGGGAAGCATGGGGGGAGGTGTGGGAAGCATGGGGGGAGGTGTGGGAAGCATAGGGGGAGGTGTGGGAAGCAGGGGGAGGTGTGGGAAGCATGGGGAAAGTGTGGGGGTGTGTGGGAAGCATGGGGAAAGTGTGGGGGAGGTGTGGGAAGCATGGGGGGAGGTGTGGGAAGCATGGAGGGAGGTGTGGGAAGCATGGGGGGAGGTGTGGGAAGCATGGGGGGAGGTGTAGGAAGCAAGGGGGAGGTGTGGGAAGCATGGGGAAAGTGTGGGGGAGGTGTGGGAAGCATGGGGGGAGGTGTGGGAAGCATGGGGGAGGTGTGGGAAGCATGGGGGGAGGTGTGGGAAGCATGGGGGGAGGTGTGGGAAGCATGGGGGGAGGTGTGGGAAGCATGGGGGGAGGTGTGGGAAGCATGGGGAAAGTGTGGGGGAGGTGTGGGAAGCATGGGGGGAGGTGTGGGAAGCATGGGGGGAGGTGTGGGAAGCATGGGGGCAGGTGTGGGAAGCATGGGGGGAGGTGTGGGAAGCATGGGGGGAGGTGTGGGAAGCATAGGGGGAGGTGTGGGAAGCAGGGGGGAGGTGTGGGAAGCATGGGGGGAGGTGTGGGAAGCATGGGGGGAGGTGTGGGAAGCATAGGGGGAGGTGTGGGAAGCAGGGGGGAGGTGTGGGAAGCATGGGGGGAGGTGTGGGAAGCATGGGGGGAGGTGTGGGAAGCATGGGGGGAGGTGTGGGAAGCATGGGGAAAGTGTGGGGGAGGTGTGGGAAGCATGGGGGGAGGTGTGGGAAGCATGGGGAAGTGTGGGGGAGGTGTGGGAAGCATGGGGGGAGGTATGGGAAGAACAGGGGAAGTGTGGAGATGGTGAGGGAGGTATTTATTCTGATATTTTATACTAGGTAGTTCCTCCATGCTGTTTGGGTTGTCAAGCCTCGACTTCATATAAACAAAACTACATGGCAGTATGACCAATAAAAGATCTTAATAATGTTTTGCAATATCTTATGCTAGCAGAGGAGGAGCTAGTATGGTATCTACAGTCCGGACACATCAGAAATTCACGATCATCTTGGTCTTGGCTATTATGGGTTTTGGATTCTTATCTGAAAAATTTATAATTATTATAATAATTACAAAAAATAGTAATACAGTAATAATAATAATAATGTCCAAATATTCTTAAGGTTTTTGTTGTTATTAACCTAAGCTACGAGACCGTGCACTTAAATAACTAATAATTATTTCTTTGCTTATAGTTGATATGTTATTTTGAGGATATGACTGTTTTAAGTCATAATGTCATTCATTGTAACCAACAAAACTTTTGCAGAATTCGGTGCGTATTACTCGTGCTCTATTTGAAATTGTCCTTCATAAAAGTTGGCCATTGATGGCTGGTAGGCTGCTTACCATGGCCAAGATGTTAGAGCATCAGATGTGGCACTTTGAGAGTCCAATGAAGCAGTTTGCTCGCTTGACCCATGAGATCATTGGAAAAATTGAAGAAAAGCGCCTCACAATTGAAAAAATCAGAGATATGGACCACAGAGAAATAGGTATAGTATTGTATTTTGTTTTTAATGATTGGAAGAAAACAAGTGATTTTTTTTTAAATTCTGAGTTTGGTCACTCAGAATTTGATTTAGTCAACCCACACCAAAGAGACCCCTTTGGTGTGGGTTGAGCCAGAACCCACAATTATTGAATTATAATTCCAAACTTGAATTACCCACCAGGCTCTGCTCAGCTGTATTCCCCATTATGACAAAGATCTTTAACTATTGTCTTGCTGTGTTTCAGAGTTATGTTCCCTGGCAATGTTTTTGAGAACCTACAGCTCCAGAGATGTCTTTTTCTAGAAGGACTTTACTTGGTGGCTTGCCGAGCTTCCTCCAAGCCTAACTCATGTCACCAAGCTCTTATGAGACACAAGATTTCCTTGCCTCAATTAACCCATATGCTGCTAAGCATAAAGGGGCTGGAAGGCAAAAAATATTCAAATTATGTAAAATTTACTTAAGAATGTTAAACAAATCTCCAACTTATTGGCTTCAGCATCATAAAAGTTTCATCAAAATATTTTCAGAAAGTGATTTTAGACGAATTTTCTGGGGGAGCCCCATCGGCTCCCCCAGAAAGGTAAGCATCCCAAAACAAACCCCTATTCTGGTAAAAATTGCTACCAAAAGCCGAACTAGTGGACAGAACTCCCCAACAGAAAACGAGCAAACTAGTATGACATCACATGTCACCGCTCCTCTGTCTGCGCAGCTCCCCCCTCCTTGGGAGGGGGGAAGGGGGAGCCCCTGACCTCTCACGCCGGCTATCCACCCATCAGTTCTTCGGCTGATGCTAAAGGCACCGGTTGTGTGCTCCGGCTCCAGTGGTTGTTTCAGCACTGTGCATAGAGTGTGGTGTCTGTCTTCTAGGTGGTGCATGAGCCGAGAGCGACTCTCCAGTGCTCGGGCTGCATGCGCTAGGGTTGCCTCCCCTAGGTGCCCTGTAAGTACTGCCCTTGCGGCTTGGGGGTTACCTTCCACAAGTTTCTTGGGTCCTGCTTCTGCTAGGCCGTCTACTTTTTGGTTTTCGGCCGCCCTTAGTGTGATGGGGGGTTCTGTCTCCCTTGTTCGCCCTAGGATTAGGAGCAGTTTGCACTGGTGGGGCGTAGAGTGCTGCACAGCTTGTTTTCACCAATCATAACAGCTGGCTCTGTTCCGCCTGGGTACGCTGTCCTTTTGCGGGGTTTGTTTGTCTACCTGGTGGGGGGGGGGGGATGATCTGCCTTTGGTTCTTGGCCCCCTTTGTACTGGATTCTCTTCCTTCTTCCGGTGGTTCCCCCTTCTAGGTCCCCGTGTGTGTACACGTCCCGGGGGTTCAGTTCTAAGAGAGTTGTTTGGTAGACATGGGCGCCGGTTAGCAGTACCCTGCCTGGGATTACCTGAGCACGAGTCCTCTTATAGTAAACGCTCAGGACCCTGGGAAACCCCTAGGGGGAGCGGGGGCCCGATGGATATGGCCCCGGATTCCCCCCCTCACTTTGTGTGAGTTTGAAGGCTGCTCTGTCCCCTTGTCTCAGGGTGACACTCGCTGTTTTGCCTCCGTCAGCTGCCTGTGGGGTCGGTGACACCTTCGGCCTGGGGTCCTGCGAGTCTTGTTGCTTGTTGTAGCTCGGTTACCCAGTCTTCTGCTGACTAAGTGGGTGCAGGCAGCACGGGCATTGCACGTTAAGTTTCGGTGGCAACGCGCTAGGTTGTTTGCTCCCCGGAAGCCCCGAGGCTGCCCCGGTTTGGTTGGTGCTTGTTTGGTCAGGCTGGGGGTGCGTCGTGTTTTGTGTTCAGTTGCGGTCCTCTGCTGTTATTTGCGCGTTGTGGCTTCTGTGTCCTGGGCGCACTTTGGTTTGATCCAGAATCAACCCAAAGATTGTTCTTCCCTGTTCGCGGGAGAAGGTGTCCCGGGTCGTCCGCCGTGTTATTGCGGCTAGCCAGCCATTGTTCTTTGCCCGTGCTTGTGGCGTTCACTGCTTTTGCTGCCGTCTTGGCAGCGTGTTCTTGCTGACTTCGGGCATGGGGATTTTTGGCGGTCATACAGAAGCCTGGCTGCTCATTGTCTCGTGTCGTTCCTGGGCTCGTTCGGGCCTGTGTCGCCTTGGGTTAGCGGTTGCAGCCAGTTGTCTCGCGTCTCGTTGAGGGATGCATGGTGTTCGCCTCCCGGATCCGTCCCTTTGACCTTCCTCTGTGGGTAGTTATCTCCAGGAGCTGACGGTGTTCCCTCCAGAAAACCAGTGTTGAACGTAATGAAACGCCATTTTCTGGGTGAGACCCGGAGGCTCCCCGGCAACCCTCCCTCCCTCCCTCCGGTCGGCGGTTTTTCGCGTGTTTTGACATCCAGCCTCAGAACTGATGGGTGGATAGCTGGCGTGAGAGGTCTGGGGCTCCCCCTTCCCCCCAGCTGCGCAGACAGCGGTGCGGTGACGTGACGTGTGATGTCATACATGTTTGCTTGTTTTCTGTTGGGGAGTTCTATCCACTAGTTTGGCTTTTGGTAGCAATTTTTACCAGAATAGGGGTTTGTTTTGGGATGCTTACCTTTCTGGATGTTTGAGCTGGTCGATGGCAGACATAGAATGCTTCCAACCACACGGGAGTTTCTATAGGCCATTGCTCCCCTTGCCTCTCTGACGGGGCCAGGTTCTGGCCGTGGTCCCCTATAGGCCCTAAGAACTCCATACACATGACTGATGCCAAAGTCTGACATTAGCATATCAGCCTGGTATAGCTCCGGGGAGCCTACGGGGCTCCCCCCAGAAAATGGCGTTTCATTACATTCAACGCTTGTTATTTAAAAAGAAGGTTTTGTTGATAAGGTGTATCCACCTTATCAACATCCCCCTTCCCCACCTGGGAGGGGGTTATGGGGGGGAGGGGTCCTAGACCTCCATTCCAGCTACTCTCCTCAGTTCTAGAGACTGTTGTGTTGGTGGCAGTCGATCGACTCCGGCTCCATTCTTTGAGCAGTGCTGCATAGCGGTGTTGTTTTTTGTGTTGATGGTGTGTGAGCCAGGAGTAACACAAGAGTACTGGAGCTGCATGCACCTAGGGCCACCTGCCCTAGGTGCCCTGTAATACTGCCTTTGCGGCTTAGGGTTCTCTTCCATGAGCCGTACAGGACACTACCTCGCGAGGTTCGGTTGCTGCTCAGCAATTGCCCGTTCTTGGGGGTCATCTGGGGTGGTCCTGTTTGTCCTTGAGTAGGAGGTAGTTTCATCGCTGACAGGGGTGCGGGGTACTGTGCAGCTGTCTGATATACACACAGCGACTGGTTCTGTACTCCGGAGATATTTGTGCTTTTGCGGGTTTTTTCTTTTGTTTTTGTTTTGTTTTGCTTGGTGGGGTTCTGCCTTGTGTGGTGGTAGGACCAGTTGTAGGAATTTGGTGGCCCTCCACTAGGTCCCCGTGCTTGCACATGTCGCAAGGGTTCAGCTTTTAGTTAGTTTACTTGGTAGCTTTGGGGGGTGTTACTTGATAGGAGATAGCTTAGGGGTGTTACCAGACTTGGGGGTGTTAGTCGCTTCGACTTTACTTCCATGCGCACCCCCTTGTCCTTCCCGTTCTGTTGTTCATCCTGGTCCCTCCCGTCCCTTCCGGCTCCGAAGCGTCTGAGGGCTTCTGGGTCAGGGCAGGGTTTAGTTGGCTTTGAGACTCGGGCCGTTTCGAGGGATGCCCCTTCCGGGGTGGCGACGAAGGCATTCAAGCCTGGTCCTCCGGCCAAAGCTTGTGGGTCTTAACCAGTGGGCCCCCTTTGTTCCTGCTTTTTCGGCTTCTGCTGCCTTTTCTTTTGAGGTGGAGGGTTTGGAGGATAGCTCAACCCTGGGTTCTCGTGATGGGGTTCCCAGGGCGAGGGAGGGATTGACTTGGGGTCCTTTGGCCCCATTGGACTCTGCTTGGATTTTTGTACCCTCTGAGCGGGGCTTGGTGTTACAAGGTGCGGTGTTCTCTTTTTCCCTGTCCTTGTACAAGTTGGATTTGGCCTCTACCCTTCCCTGGGTTTGGTTCTGTAATCCCATGGGTTCTTCAGTCCCGTCTTTCCGGAGGTTTTCGACCTCCCGCATCCCGCCGAATGTGGTGCGGGAGGCCATTGCGGCTTACCTCCTGTGCGACCCAGATTACGCCGTCATAATGGATCCATCTTCATTCGTGTATGGATCTTCTTGTCCCTACTGGGTTCGTTATGAGGTTCCGGAGTCGTCCTGGCTTGCTGACTGCCCGTTTTTATTGTTGGAGGCATGGCATTCGTTCTGTCAGTTCCCTCGCTTGAGTGGCATGAGGTTCATACAGTGGTCTGCGTAGCTAGTTTTCACCTATGACAGCAGCCGGCTCTGTTCCCTCTGGGTACATTGTCCACTTGTGTGGTTTTCTTTTATATTTGTTTTTGCCTGGTAGGGGGGTCTTCCTTGTGTTCCCCCCCCCCCTTATATTAGGGTTGTTTGTGTGGTGGCACCCCCTGTTTCGCCCTCACGGGTGGACACGTCCCGTGGGTTTAGCTTTAGCAGTTTACTTGGTAGTTTGGGGCGCCAGTTAGCAGTGCCCTGCCTGGGATAACCCTTAGCAGACCCAGTCTAGGGGCCCTAGGAAACCCCCTGGGGGCTCTCGGGTCCGATAGTGGAGACCCTTGCGTCCCCTCTCGCTTTGTGCGAGTTGAGGGTTGCTCTGTCCCTTTGTCTGAGGGTGACTCTCCTTGTTTTTGCCTCCGTCATGCTGCCTGTTGGGTCGGTGACACATTCAACCCTTGAGTCCTGCGAGCTTTGTTGCTTGTTCGTGACTCCATTCACCCAGTCTGCTGATGAATTCCTGTGGGTGCAGGCAGCTCGCGCGTTGCTGGGTAGGTTGATGCAACGCGCTCGGGTTTGTCGCCTCCCCGGACGCCCCGATGCTGCCCCGCTTGTGTAGGGACCCGAACTTGGGGGTTTTGGTAGCTTTGGCCTTGGTTCCTTCCATGTGTCGGGGTTCACCATAAGAGGGTGAGCAACAGTATACAAGATATCCTCTCAACGGTCGCA